TATAAAGAATTGAAAAACATCAGACAACCTTAAATTCAAATACCCAATCCAAAAATTAGCATCTGAGATAATTATATCCTTCTAAGATGAAGAAATAAAAAGAGCAAATAAATATATGAAAAAATGTTCAACAACATTGGTCATTCGAGAAATGCAAATTAAAACAACACTACAATTCTATCTCACCCAGAAAGAATGGCTATCATCAAGTAATCAACCAATGACAAATGCTTATGTGGTTATGGCGGAAAAGGAACCCTTCTCCACTCTTGCTGTCTGTGTTGACTTGTACAACCGCTGTGGAAATCAGTGTGGAGATTCCTCATAAATCTATGATTAGAGGTCCCATATAACCTAGCTGTTCTCCTTCTGGATATTTTCTCAGAAAAAATTAAAATTATCACACTACAATGATAAATGTGCACCCATGTTTATAGCAACACAATTTGTAAAAGCTAAAAGTTGGAAACAACCCAAATGTCCATTAACTAAGGAACAGATTTTTAAAAGTGTGATATTTTTATAAAATGGAGCACTACTCAGCTATAAAGAAGGATAAACTTGAGACTTTTTAAAAGTAAACAAGGCCATATTCATAAGTTAAATAAATTAGACTCCTGTATGTAAACATCATTTGTCTGCCTAGTGTAAGAAACTGAAAGAGTAAATAAGATTCAAAATGTACAATTGGTATTGTGAAAGGGAAAGAAACTGCTCAAAAGAAAGGAAAAGCTGGAATGGTGGAAAGAAAAAAAAAAGGAAGGGAATATATATATATATATATATATATATATGGTAGTTAAGATAGTTATACTACTAATTTCTATTAGTTCATTGAAAACAAAGTTGTTTTGTGCTTACATTGTTTGATCCATTTTTATGACTTCAACTTGCAGTCTGAGCAACTACTCTGAAAATAACAATACACAATATATCAGCCAGTTACTCTCCTATCATCTTGTTTTGAATTCTTTATAATTTTTATTGTTTTTCTCTTTAAAATTAAAAACTGCTAATTTTATTTAAAAATATCTTCACAAAAACATTTAGAATATTTGACCACATAAGTACCATTGACTAACACATTTGACACAAGAAATTAATTTCAGAAAATCAATCCAATAATTATACAGCTGAAATGATGTTTAATAGTAAACCCCTCACTTTGTAGTACAAGAAATTTCACCCACTGTGGAATAAGCAGCCTACCCAAGGTCACAGAGATCCTGAAGGACCCAGATATTCTGACTAGCAACTCTCTGAGTTTTTTTCAAATACTATAAAATGAAACAGCTACAAAATGCTGTTTTCGGTGTTTTAGTTTTTTTTTTATATTGAAAAAAATTGTCACAATATAGTATAAAAGTGACCAATACAATGTCTTATATTCAAATAGTGAGGGAGTTAGGGAGTTTATACTATGGAGTTACTTAATGGGGAAGCTAATAATCTGAATAAATGTCTTCACTTCAATATACATAATCTCAGTTATTATAATGGTTCCCATTGCATCTAAAATTAGGTGTATATAAGTCAGGCTATCATTCACTGACAAAGTAACATGTGAGTAAAGACTCAGAAGAAATAAGGGAGCAAACAAATGGACACCTGCAGAAGAACGAGTATTTAAGGTAGACACAACAGTTGGCACAAAGGTTTTGGATTGAGAAACACCAAGGGAACCCTGCGAGTCTGGAGCCCACAGAGGAAGATGAGGGTGGCAGAGGATGAGGTGGAGGACAGAGAGACATGGTCAGGTGGAAGCATATGTGCCAGATACAGAAGAGGCAAGGGTGACTTCAAAGGCCTGAATAGCTGGCAGGAAGTAGTTAGCATCTACTGAAATGGAGACGTCAGCAGTTAAGGCTGGACCTGCTTGGGAAGAAAGGACCAGAGTTCAGATGTGGACATGCTGGATGCTCAAGTAGGTACCCAGATGGCTGCCCGGAGCTCTGAAAACAGACATGGGTTGAGATATAAATTCAAGACAGTGATTTGGTTAAACATTTATTAGCACTTTACCATTTGATGAGCACTGACTTGCATATTACAGGCATACATATTAAGAATATATTGTTTTTTCCATCATAATCTCATAGTTAACAAGGAAAACAGGCATATCAACAAAAATTGCAATATTTAGTAGATGTAACTATACAAGTCTGTCTTAGATGCATTCTTTTTGCTGGAGCTAAGTTCTCAACACTCACAAATGAAAGAAGGAGAATTTAACAGTTTCAGTTGATGGTAGGCTGGGGAGAGAGGCATGGCAGAAGAAAAGGCACTCTGCATGGGAACCATGAGAGAGAGACACACAGAGACAGACAGGGAGAGAGACAGAGAGATGAAGAGACAGAGAGACAGAGAGACAGACAGAGAGCCAGAGACAGACAGAGAGAAACAGAGAGGAGCCAGGGACAAGAATATGTCCTTTCTGGTAAAGCCCTCAGTGTCCCACTTTCAATCAGATCTTACCTCTTAGCAGCAAATCAGCTACAGCAACTGCATGATCCAGTCACTTTCCAAAGTGATATCTGGGAGACACTTCAGATCTAAAGCATATGGCTTAGAAGGCCACTGATACAGGGAAAATTAACTACTTCCACTTTGGGAAGAGTCAGGAAGAGCTTCAGAGAGGGAGTGAAGAGCTGAGCTAGAACTTGAAGGTTCAAGAGGATTTCTCTAGATGGAAAAGGTAGGATATTCCAGGCGAGTGAAAGTCATATGAATAAATGCAATTTTGCTTATATGGCCACACATGAAATTGAGAGACCTTTATTCATGGATTTTAAAAATAAGGCTATTCTGCATATATGTTGAAAGTTTGTACCTGGTTCCTTAATAGTGTACATTAACTATCTTTTTCTATGCTTCCCGCCCACAGTGATCTGAATCAAACAGAGGGCAGACACTGAGCAGTTATTTTATGTCTTACTGAATGCAGGTTACAGCTAAGCACAAAGAAAAAGGAATTTTTTAAGCTTAGCCTTGAAATCTTACAGCATAAGCAACAGAATTTAGAAAATCTTTTTTGAGTCTGACACTTCCTTAGTCTAGGTCTAGATGGAGATTTCTGAGCTCTGACAGGGGAGGGAAGAGGAGGAGAAAGGGAAGAGCACTTATATATGCCGAGAGAGAATGCCAACTTGGAGGATCCTCTCAGTCAGGAGTGGAGTCAGCATCTCAGGGCTGCCTGATCTCTGCTTCTGCCAGTACTGCCCTTGCAGCCAGCCTGGCATCCACGGACCAGCCAGCCTGGCATCCAGGGACCACCCAGCAGGAGCTTTGCCCGACTATGCCTTCATCATTTCCTTTTCTAAGCTTCTCTCTGTGAGCAACCCTTCTTTAAAAAGCTTCATATCCCAGTTAAGCACACTTTCTGCTCCAGCAAGGAGCAGAACCCCAGAAATTATGGGACTTGGAGGAATTTTAGGAAAAGAAAGCCTACCTTCACCTTCACTTAGGTGGGATAAAAAAAGGTCAGTTCAAGGTCAGTACTGCACTTCTGCTCCGTGGTGGAACAATGATGAAACACACTCATCCCATGATCCTTCCTCCTTCACTCAGTCTGTGAGTCTTCACCTAGAAAGTTGAGGAGTTAGGCCACAAACAGGAGACCCCTGGAAGAAGTTTGGAAGGGTTTTCCACTTAACGTGGTTCATTTGAAAATAGAGGTGTCTTATTTGATATCTGCCGCCCAATCTTTAGCTTTCTGTTCCTTCACCCCATGTACTACTCAGTGCTACGTGGAACATTTATTTTAAGGCTAAGAAGCTTGGTTGCTTTAAATTGTTACTTAAACATTTCTTTCTGAGTTTAAACTTGGCTGCGTGTCTGGAAATTGTTTTGAAAAAAGCCAGTAAGTTAAAGCTGCTAGAAGCTTATAGATAAGTGAAGTTACAACTGACAGTCAGTAAAAAGTAAATAGTGGAAAACTCTCATGACTTGCTGCTCCTTCTAATCTGAGCTAGTCTGGAACTGGACTTTAGTAATTTATTTCTCTCTCTCTCTCTCTCTCTCTCTCTCTCTCTCTCTCTCTCTCTTTCATGGTACCCAGGATTGAACTCATGACTCTGTTGTGCTTGCCAGACTTTTGTACTCTACAAAGAAATGCATGCTGCACCTGGAAGTCTGATGCTTCACAAAAATGACATAGTTATGCATAACTTTGACTTTGTGAAGCAACTGACAATTTCTTGTCTCGTTCTACTTTTCCAGTGGCAAAAAGAGGTAGAAAGGGCCCACATTTCGCAGACAAACTATGTCCAGTGCAAGCAGTTAAAACCCTTTCGGAGGTCACACACAAGAGCAAGCCTCAGGCTTATGCTTACTTTTCCTGAAGCCTTCTGCCCAGCTTCTAGACTGCTAACAAGACCGGTGCCCTTAGTAAATTACCCAGCCTCCTTCCATTTTTAAACCTCTAATAGAAGGTTCTTCCTAATTTTGGATATCCTTTCACTGAGCCCAGTGAGGAGGAATTTAGAGATCAGAGGCAGAGGAGTAGGTAATATTTGGAAGGCTCCTCCAAGCTCTTTTATTTGGTTTTCTTGCCATTCCTCCAAGCAGGGAACTTTTCAGTAAGCATCCCTTTGAAAATCTGACTACACTTAACAGTCTTCTGAGTTTTGCCTTCTTTTTGGGAGCAAGAGCAGAGAGGAAGTGCTCCGCAGCTACCAGTATTTTCCTCTAGGAGGAGCCGCGCAGTCCAGAGGAGAGGGACGCGCACAGCCCCAACTCCTGGCGGGGAAGGCTCCATCCCAGCGCTCGGAATGCGTGGCCCTGGCGGCTCTCTGCCTCTCCCCAGAGGTTCTCCTGCAAGCGGCGGCCCTGAATTCCCGCTTCCCTCTGCTTCCTTAGCCGGGATCCGGGAAGCTGCGGGCCTGGCCCGAGGTGAACCCCGGTGAACGGTGCAAGCGGCCGCGTTCCCACCCTCCCTCCCTCCCGCCGTCCTCCGGTCCCCGTCCCCGCCCCCTGCCTCCTCCCCGAGCCTGACAGCCCGCGAGCTGCCAGGCCGGGCGCAGCCATGGGAAGAGGAGGCGGTCTAGGGAGCGGCGGCGGCGGAGACTGCTGCTGAGCCCGGGCGGCGGCGGGGACCCCGGGCTGGGACCAGCCGTGCCGGAGCCCCCGCGCCATCGGCCCCGCGCGGACGCGAACTCGCGCCGTCTTGCGAGGCGAAGCTTGGAGGTATAGTGCTGGAGGGGGGCTCCGCGAGTCGGGCTCTTATTTTCCCCCCTTTATGCCAAAGAGCTTGAAAGTGAGCCCTGTGGTGCCAGTTGTTTATGAAAATGGAGGGGGGTCTGCTTTACGGAGTTACACAGATTTTTTCCTAGGTAACTTGAGGGTGGGATGTGGTCCCTTCCCCAATAGTTGTTTTGTGCTGATGGTTTGTTGTAACCCGATCCGTGCTACGGACGTGTGTGTGTGTGTGTGTGTGTGTGTGTGTGTGTGTGTGTGTGTAAGCTGATGGGAGCAGAAGGTAGTTGGGGGCGAGGGGCGGCGACCAGAGAACCATCTCCACTCAGGCGTCTGCTCCGCCCCCTGTGTGCGGGGCGAGGAGGGGTTTCCTCCCAAGACAGTTGTGTTAAAGTCGTAGAAGTTTTGCGAGTGTGTTTCTGTTTGACATCACCAGCCTGCCAGGCTGGGGCAGGAATTGCTGAAGCTGCTGCTTCAGCGCTGGAGAGGGCTGGAGCTGCGCGCCTGGAGGGACGAAAGAGGCCGGGCAGTGAGCCCTTGCACCGAGCTCACACCGTGCGCGGCCTGTTGCATGTTTGTGCGGGCTGCAGCTGGCCGCTGGCGTTGGCGGAGCTGAGGTTAGTAGAGTCTGGGCCACCAGTCTCCAATGAACTGAGGCGGGTGGAAATTGTGGCAAGCTGAACTCTCTCAGCCCTGGACACACACGTGGTTCTGCAATCAGCCAGAGCTGAAAGTTTTGACAGAACCACCAAAGCTTGAAGGCTGCGGGTGAGTGGGGTAGCCGCAGCTCTGGAGTGAGCGCGCAGGCGGCGCGGATGTGCGGGGGCCAGAGTCAACCAAGGAGGGGGTCGCGGGGGAAGGCTGTTTCCTGACAAGAGCTTTATGCTGAGCCCAGGAGCACATCTGCTGAGATTGGGCTGTGAGGCTTAGTGGTCTGGTGCAGGGTGTGTGTGCTGAATGAGTGTGCCTGCGTGCGTTCTGTGTGTGCCCCCCCCAACACACACACACACACACACACACACACACACACACACACACACACACACACGAGTGAGTGCCTGGGAGGTGTGCTGGCTCCTGAGGCAGCAGGGCGTTCGGGTTGGGGAAGGAGGAGACCACAGAATTGCTGCCTGCTTATTTGTAAGGTCAGAAGACCTTGGAAGGAACAGGCAAGGTAATGGGAGGCCACCGGGTTGAAAGGCACAGGAGTTCCTGCATAGGAATAAGTACAACAGGCTTTGACATAACTCATGTTGCCTTGGAGGGGCGGGATGCACGCAGAGGTTGCAGGACAGGGGAGTGTAAGTGGGGTTTCTGGAGTTCTCAGGGGAACTTAATGGCGCGACATTTAAGGTTATACATATATAACACTGGACCTCAGAGACAAGGGCTGGTTGAGGCTGTGCATCTGAGAGTCCCACGGTGCCACTGACCTTGTCTAGTATATAGGTAGTCTTAGGGATCTTCATCTATAAACCCTTTGAAGTGTGCTTGAGAAGTTCATCTACTTTTTCCCACAAAAATGAAATGTGGCAGCAACTGGTGTTCTAGGCAATTTTCCTTCTACATCAATCTCGAAATCTTTTTTTCTGGGTTCCCGTGGAGATGACAACTGTTGAAACATTTCCTTAAATTGAAATATTGAATAGAATGACTTAGGAAATAGAGTTGCTGGATCTATTTTTTTCCGAGATTCACAGTATTCTTTCCTTTAGAGAAAAGCAAAGGTCAGTGTTCTCTGATTCGATGTCAAAGGACCTCCTGTCATCTGCAGTTTGCTTTCAGATAGACCTTTGGAGCCAGCTGGAAGGATGGTTTTAGCCTGCAAACACAGAGAAGACATCATCTGGATCTTAAAAAGCTTGTCTCAGCTCTCATCTTCTTCCACCCTTAAAATGTTTAGGCTTCACAATAGTCTAAGGAGAGGCAGTGAGTCAACATTCAGGACTTTTTTTTTAATAAATATATCACCATGAAATTATAGTTTTGGTCCCCCAAAATACCAAAGAAAGCTCAACACTTAATGGGGCAAAGGCGTGAAATAAGCCTATAAATGCAATGCCAACGTGATGACAGGAGTTCATTTTTTTCCCAAAGTGAGCATAACTTTACCTTGCAAATATTTGTTCTAGCCACAGTCTGGGGCTATGTTTTTTCTTTATTAGTTTTCAAACAGCAGTGTGCACATCATAAGCCACTTTAAAATGGACACTACGGGCTTTTGCTATGCTATCTCTGGTGCCTGCATTAACAAATGTTTATGGCGCCTGGTAACCTATGGTACTGTCATGTTGAGTGTCTTGTTAACCCAGGACATGATGTTTATAGTTTAATGTAATAAATGAAGCCACAGTTGCAGCCTACTTCTGCCAAGTACATGAAGCACCCAGTGTAGAAAGAAGTCTTGAAGTTGGTCCAACTTGGCCAGCCTTTTTGGCTATCTGCTGGTAAGCATTGTTAATGTAAGGATAAATCTGAGTGTGGGACAGCAGTTGTATAGCTTAGATAAAATAGATGTGAGCTGTATTTTTTAATCTGACAAGCTAAAGTTTAAGATCCTTTGGTCGTTACACTGGTAAACTGCAAAATTATGGAGACTTGCTTGCCTTCAGTCAGTAATGTCAGTAATAAAAATAATGAAAATAACTTCTAATTCCTAGTGTGTTCATGTAATCCAGTGCTGCTACTGCTTCCTCTTCTTCTTCCTCTTCTTCTTCCTCTTTTTCTTCCTCCTCTCTTTCTCTCCCCTCCCCCATCTCCTTTACTAAATACATGAACTGAGCTGTAGCTCAGTATCAGAACATAGCCCAGTAATCTATAATATATGTAGTAGTAGTTTAAGTAATATCAGGATCCAAATCATCTAATCATCTTTTTTATCTTTAATTGGTAAGTATCTAAGTTTGATTAAACTGGAGTCAGCCTCTCAGTCAAGCGTATAAATAAAGCAATGTAAGCTGTCTTTTTGGAAAGTGATTTTAAAAATTCTGGAACAAATATCATAAAAATAATATGTCCAATAAAGTGGCTGCTTAGGATAACTTATTTAAAAAGTAACTGTAATCACATCAACCTCTATTTCAATATGCAGGAAAATGGGCCAGTCTATCTCTTCTTAGAAATAATTATTTGACAAACATCAAATATCCTTGCCCAGTTCTTTCTAGGAAGGCTTAATTTCTAGAAAGTTCTGCCTTGTACTGAATTAATGTTTTCTTACATCTATTTGCCTACCCTTCAGTTGCTGGGAGTTCACATAATAAATCTGATCTCTTCCTGTTGAGCATACTGTTTGAAAGCAAGCATGTGTTCCTTGTTTCTTAATTTGTTTTTGCCTGTTCTTACAGTTGTTTACCTCCTGTAGAGTCCCCCCTTCCTCCACCTTGAATGATGTCTAACACACAGATTTAGAATCCTTACTTGTGGATATTCTTTATCTTTAATATTCGTGAGTGTTTTAACCATCTCATTACACCATTGAAAAATTTCAAACCTGTAAGCCAAGTAATAACCTGGGGTCTTTTCAAATTATTATTCACCTATATTCAAAGCATAGTAATAGTTTAATAATAATTGTTTCTTGCCTGAAATTACTATAAACCTGTGGAAGGTATGATAATGGACAGGTAAATAAAATTCTATCAATCATGCAAATAACTCTTGAATTTCTTCCTATCAATGTTTGCCAACCAAAATAGTTCTGGATATAGAATGTTCTGAAGATAAGCAAGTTGAAACTGGATTTATAGATAGGTAGAGACGATGATGTATTTTCTCACAAACCACATTATGTTTGCTTCCATGAACATGAGTCAGTACTAGCAATCAAGCATTTATTGAAGACTGTTCTGTCTGAGCCCCAGAAAGTGTGCCATCTGGTCCCAAATGAGGTGAAAGTACATCAGACAGAAATGCTTCCTTAGGCAACTGGGACCTGAGGTGTATATATGGGACGTGACTAAATGAATGACCTGCTTTTTCTCAGGAGATAAACAACCTGCTAATGTCACAGGGAAGTTGAAACTGCTTACTTTCTTGTAAGCAACTATATCAGAGCATCAGTATAAACTGAGGCTTTCATGACTTGTTTTGTATCTGGACAGGAATTAATCAGATCCTCTGTTACTCCAAATTTACCAAATTCTTGTTGTCTTGTAAAAAGAAGCCCAGGTGGCTTAATACTCAGGTGTGTAGCTCAAAGGATAGCACTTTGGGGTTCACTGATTTCAGGTTTTTCACCCACATGCAGAACAGCTCAGAAGAGACTTAGTTTTGTTTCTGTGAAAATGATATCTGTCTTTCAGGACTGAAGCATTACCACACGAGCTCTGTACCATCTCTGATCTGTAATTAGGCACCTATGCTGTATGATTGGTTTATCTTGTGTGAATCTGCCTTGAGTATCCTAACTAAATTATGAGCTTCCCATGTCATCTACTAAGAATCTATTAGAAGAGCATCTTCCTGCAAGAGAAGTTCATAGTGGATGATGGTGACAGTGTTCCTTTATTCAACAAGTCAGCATGTGAAATCACTGTGTTTTTAGGGAGAGATGCAGAAAGAAGGAGAAAACCAAACTGTCATATATCCTAACTTTAGTGACCATTGGAAGTTCCTACTTTTGGGGAGACCATTGGTTTGGGCAAGAAAACAATGATATCATTGTGCTTCTAGGAAAAATTGTTTTTGTCTACGAACGTGTGTGTTTTGCAGTGAGATTCTTCACTGTATCCCTTTGCATTATGATCGCCACTCATGTACATTTGTTTCACTGATTTTTTTTCTGTTCTCATATAAAGAAAGAAAGACATGATAAGAAAATATATATTTCTTAAAGTTCGAAATTTGCTTGACCATTCTGTCCCTTACATCCAACTCCCAAATTACAGTGGTTCCATTGCTAAGTGCTAAGGTATGCAATTGCAAATTATTTTCTCCTTTGATATGGAGACTACGTTAGTTTGGCATTATTTTTGACTTCAGCAAACTAA